GATATCGTTTCACAGGTCTTCGTATTCTAGTCGATCGTCGCATTGATGTTCTGGAGAGCACGGTAGAGCGGTGTTGACGTCCAAGTCACTAGCAGTCTCGTCGTTGCTTCTTAGCCAATTGTCGTCCAATTCTAACACGTCGAGCAGGGTTTTCAAGGAATTGTCTTCACCACTACAGCTTGTCCCTGTATTGCTATGTCGTAATTGATTTGCGTGTTTCCGCATCAGCCTTCCTTCCACGACGACCTCATAGTTAACTTTCCCAAGTCGTTTTGCGACAACTCCTTGCTTCCATGTGAAGTGTGGGGCTTTCCACACCTGAACATACACGTCGTCTCCCTTTTTGAATTCCTTCATCTTCCAGCGATTTTCTTCGACGTACGACCATGCTGATGATTTGGTTCTGTCCTCAAGACATCTGTGTGGGGTGGTTCGGTGTGCTTGCAGCATAACATTGAACTTGTCCTCTGACGGTTTCTCTTCCCCTTTGAGTTTTCTAAATCCTCTCTTCAACGTATTGACTTCTTCCTTGGTGCAGCGTCCTACACCTTCTTCGAAAACATCCGGGAATGTTTTCTTCAACTCTTCTTCACGTCTGGGGTTACAGTTGGCCTTCACTTCAGCAGCCATCATTTCTATGTGGTACATCAAATTCTCATTTGCTCGAATCCATTCGAGACCCAAGAGTGAGTTGTGCGGCGTCACATAGGCGTCTCCTTCAGTAGTGACACCTTTCATGGTAATCTTGCATTTAAGCTTTCCATATATCTTCATGGTATCTCCACTTGCGTTTTTCACGACTATATTGGTCTTTTCCAATGCTGGGGAGCCCATCTTCTTCCAAATCTTCTCGTTCAGTAACGTGATGTCTGATCCAGTATCGAGAAGAAATTTGACTGAGTAGTTGTTCACTACAGCGTCGATGTACACACGGGAAGAGTTTGCCTGAACTGCTGCATTTGCAATCTTGACGATTCGTACTTGTTTTCTCGGACCTCTGTTGTTTCTGTTCCTCGAGAACTTCTCTTTAGTATGCTGAGTTTTCTGCGTCGCCTCTGTGCGACCCGCAGTCTTCTTTTGTCGTAAAGTGTCACAAAACTTTTCCTTGTGACCGACCTTCCTGCACTTCTTGCAGAACCACGGTTTTGCTTGGCATCCACTAGCACGTTTGCCTTCGCAGTTCCAACATTCTATTTCCTTTCGCTTCTGGACGGACGTGGCTTCCACTAGTTTCATAGTTCCGGCGACAACTTCACTGTCTCTCTTAAGGCTTAAGAAGTTTTCGCACTCCTGATGCAATTGTTGCAGTGAGACCGTTTTGCCTGCTTTGTAGTCTCTATCCAGTATTGTGATCAGCCTCTGCCTGATCTCTGCCTCCTGCTGTGACTTCAGCCCGAAAATCCACAGCAAGCATTTGATGCCGTCTAACTCGTGAATCTTTGCTCTCTCGCAAAATTCATTCACTCGACCGGTATACGTAAGGAAGTCTTCTGAAGGGCTCTTCTCTAGTTTCAGACATTGACAAACAACTGCTTGAGTATGTCCACCGTCTCGGTGAACCCAATTTCTGTCACATCTCTTGGCAGCACGTGCCTTTGGTACTTCTCGAAAGATAGAGGATCCAATTTTTCGCAGAGCAGTCTGACCTTGGTGCTTTCAGAAAGCTGCTTTGCATCTTCGAAAACACATCCTTGTATCTTGAAAACCATTTTGAGAAGTTCATATCGGCATCCGGGTCGAAAACGAACTTTTCAATGCGGTTGCTCAACGCTGCCATCAAGTTTGGGAGTGCCATGTGCTCCGTCGCATTGCAATCTCCCTGTCCGCGTTCTGGAATGCGATCTAGCAGTTTGCGATGACATTCTTCTGTTCATCCATCATTTCTCTGAACATAGCTATGATGGTGGTCGTATCCATTTTTCCAAGTGTCGATGTGGTTCCCTAGATCCTGGTTGTCCGGTAAGCTGCGTAACTTCTGACGATGATTTGGACTTGAGGAGCACGATACTGGTTATACAAAGCTGACCACGTGCCTTACGTTGCAAACGTGCAGATCAGCAAGAAAAGTTGACTTCTATCACGGTAATAGA